AACATTGCTCTTCGTGTTCTCCTTCTTCTTATGAAATAATCTAAGATTTACAAGTAAGTATAGATTTACAAGTGAATAATATAAGGAATACCATCTTGCTTAGGAAAACTTTTGGTATCGTTTGCTCAATCTCTGTCCCATTTTCTTCTTCCTTCCAGATGTACACACTGTTCTGAATTTGTTGTTTATCATTCCCATAAAGATTTTTACACTTCCCAAATATGTATTAACCACAAACAATATACGGTGTTGTTATGTATATTGTAAAACTATATAAATGGTATCACACCATGTATACTTGTTTTACAACTTTTTCAGATAGCATTACACTTTTGGAATTTGTCCATATTGATTCATACATACCTGTAGCTCATGGATTTTAACTGCTACATAGCATTTTAGTGTCTAGGTATATTACAGTTTATCCATTCTTCTGTTGAACTTTTAGGTTGTTTGTAACATTTTGCTGTTATAGACTCTTGTCTGTGGTTGCCAGATTTCCTCTTAAGTAGTTACCAATTCAGACATTTGCTGTTCAGTATCCTCTCAACGTTGGATATTGCCAGACTTTAGTTTTTTTTCTGATCTGATGGGTATGAAATGAATTTCATTGTGTTTTAATTGTCCGTTTCCCTGAGCATTGTTTTAAAAATGTCTCTTTGCCATTCAGATTACCTTTGGTGAACTTTCTTTTGATAAGTTCTGCTGTTTTTTCTTAAATTGAATTTTTATAAGTTATTTATATAATCTGGCTATTAATCGTTTCTTGTTTATAGGCATTTCAGAAATGTTGTTCAATTCTGTGGTTTGTCCTTTTTACTTTTTTAGAGTGTCTTTGGATTTACTGACATTTGGAATTTATAGTAAAAGTCATGAGTCTTTGTGGTTTGTGTATTTCTTTCTTTCCTTTTTTTTGAGACGGAAGTGTATTTCTTGTTTAAAGAATCTGCACACACTTTGAAGTCATGAAGATATTCTATATTTTCTTCAAAAATGTTTAAAAATTTGCTTGTCACAATTAGGTTTTTATTTACTGGAAGTGATTTTTGTAAATGTTGTGAAATAGAGATAATTTTTTTCCTATGGAAAATTCATTACCTTGGCACCATTTATTGAAAGAGTTGTCTTTCTCCACTGATATGCAAAACCTCTTGTATATCGAGTATGCATGGATTTTTTTCTGGAGTCTCATTGGTTTGTATATCAGTTCCTATATCAATTCTGCACTGTTGAAAATAATACAACTTTGTAATATATTTTGATATCTGAAGTTGAAACTCCTCCCCTTTGTCTTAAAAATTATCCTGGCTATTTTGGATTCTTTGCTCTTCTACATAAATTTTAGAATTTGTGTGTCAGCCGGGCATGCTGGCTCATGTAATGCCAGTACTTTGGGAGGCTGAAGTAGGCAGATCACTTGAGGTCAGGAATCTGAAACCAGGTTGGCCACCATGGTGAATTCCTGTCTACTAAAAATACAAAAATTAGCTGGAAGTGGTGGTAGGTGCCTGTAGTCATAGGAGACTGAGGCAGGAGAATTGCTTGAAACCGGGAGATGGATGGAGATTGCAGTGAATGGAGATTGCGCCACTGCACACCAGCCTGGGTGATGGAATGAGACTCTGTCTCAAAAACAAAAAACAAACAAACAAAAATTTGCATGTCAAGTCTCACAAAAAGCCTTTAAACAATCATTTTTATTGAGATATAGTTAATGTATACGATTATGTGAGTTTTGACAAAAGTATATATCTATGTAACCACGATTACAATCTACATATAGATTTATTCTATTACCCTAAGTGTTTCTATGTCACTCTTCCAGCCAGTTCACAAGTACTCCCAGCCCTGGTCAACCACTGATCTACTTTCTATTTTTATAGATTAGGTTTGCCTTTAGTAAGTTTCATATAAATGGAATCATAAGTATGTACTCATTTTTGGATGACTTCTATTGATCAACAGAATGTTTTCGGGATTCATCTATGTTACATGTATCAGTAGTTTATTCTTTTTTTCTTTGCTAAATAGAATTCCATTGTATAGCCATACCACAATTTGTTTATCCCCTCATTTGTTGGTGGACATTTGGATTGTTTCATGTTTGGGGCTATTATTGAAGTTGTTATAAACATTCATGTAAAAATCTTTATGTAGACATATGTTATCATTTCACTTAGGAGTAGAATTTTTAGGCCATATAGTAAAGTACACAATCATGTATTGCTTAACAATGTGGTATATGTTGTGAAAAATGCACCCTTAGGTGAACATTGGAGAGTGTACTTATGCAAATCTAGGTGGTATAGCCTACTAAACAACTAGGCTATATGGAATAGACTGTTGCTCTTAGGCTACAAATCTGTAGCCTCAGTACAGCATGTTACTGTACTGAGTACTGTAGGCAACTAACACAATGGTAAGTTTGCATCTAAATATATCTAAACATAAAGAAGGTACAGTAAAAATATGGCAGAAAAGATAAAAAATGGTACACTTGTATAGCACACTTACCATGAATTGAGCATGCAGGACTAGAAGTTGCTCTAGGTGTATCAGTCAGTGAGTGGTGAGTGAATGGGAAGGCCTAGGACATTACTGTATACTACCGTAGACTGTGTAAACACTGTACTCTTGAATTACACTAAATTTATAAAAATATTTTCTTGCTTCAATAATAAATTAACCTTAGCTTACTGTAACTTTTTAACTTTATAGAATTTTACATTTTTTGAACTTTTGGACTCTTAGTAGCATTTAGCTTAAAGCACGAACACATTGTATAGCTGAACACAAATACTTTTTTTCTTTACATTGTTATTCTATAAATTTTTTTCTGTTTAAAATTTAAAATTAAAAATTTTTTTTTGTTAAAAACTAAAACTAAAAACTTTTTGTTAAACTAAGACAAATATTGTTTTCTACCTCCATATATTGTCTCACTCTAAGGTCTTCAGGGACAATAACATGTATGGAGTTGTCAACTTCATATATATTACACAATTTCTTCTTCTGGAATATCTGCAATATCTCCTGAGGATATATACTTGGGGTTATTTTACAGTTAACTTATTTTTTAAATAAGAAGAAGGAAGGTACTGTAAAATAACAAAAAATATAGTGTAGTAAACACTTAAATGAGTAACATAATCATTTATTATCATGATCAAGTATTAGGTACTGTATATAATTGTATGTGCTGTACTTTTATATGATTGGTAGTACAGTAGGTTTGTTTGCACCATTGTAGCAAGTTTACACTATCAGCCCTATAAATTTGAGTAATGCATTGCACTATGACATTATAATGGCTATGACATCAATAAATTACAGGAATTTTTCAGCTCAATTATAATCTTCTGGGACCACCATAGTATATGCAGTCTGTCATTGACCAAAATGTTATGTGGTACATGACTACATTTAACTTTATAAGAAGTTTCCATACTATTTTCTAAAGTGATTGTATCATTTTACTTTCCCACTAGCAGTACCAGTACTTGGTAATGCCAGTGATATTACTTTTCACCTTTCCAGTGGGTAATAGTATCTTATTATATTTTAATTTGCATTTCCCTTATTACTAGTGATGTTGAGTGTATTTTCATGTGCCTGTTGGCCATTTGTACATCTTCTTTGGTGAAGTGTCCATTCACATCTTTTGCTCATTTTAATATTTATTTTTTCCAGCTTTATTGAGGCATACTTGAAAAATAAATTATATATATTTAAGATGTGCATAATAAAGTTTTGATAAATACATATGCTATGAAATTACCACAATGTAGCTTATTTTAATATCTGCATCACCTCATGTAGTCTTTTTTTCTTAGTGTGGTAAGAACATTTATGATTTATTCTCTTAGCAAATTTCAAGTATACAGTATATTATTCACTGTAGTCACCATGCTATGTACATACTGTGCTATATTTATAAGTGCTACATTTGTAAGTGAAAGTTTTACCAGTTTCCCAACATGTCATTTTCTCTACCCCCTGACCCCTGTGATCACCTTTCTAGTCTATTTCTGTGATTTCAACTTTCCAGATTCCACTAATAAGTAAAATCGTATAGCATTTGTCTTTCTGGGTCTGGCTTCACTTAGCATAATGTCCTTCAAGTTCATCTATGTTTTCACCAATGACAGGATTTCCTTCTTTTTTTAAGTCTAAATGATATTCCATTGTGTGTACACATTATCTTTATTGATTCAGCCACTGATGGATACTTAGGTATCATTGTCTTAGCTACTGTGAATAATGCTGAAATGAAAATGAGAGTGCAATTATCTTTTCAAGATAGTGGTTTTCTTTCTTTTGGAAAGAAAATAAATTCCCAAAAGTGGGAATATTGGATTATATGTATGGTAGTTCTATCTTTAAGTTTTTCAGGAATCTTCATATTATTTTCCATAATGGCTGTACCAATTTACATCCCCACCAACAAGGTATAAGTGTTCCCTTTTCTCCATATCCTCAACAACAGTTTTGTCTCTTGAGTTTTTGATAATAGTTATCCTAACAGGTGTGAGGTAATATCCTATTGCAGTTTTGATTTGCATTTCTCTGAAGATTGCTGATGTTGATACCTTTTCATATACCTATTGGCTATTTGTATGTCCTCTTTGGGAAACTGTCTGTTTACGTCCTTTGGCCATATTTTTAATTGGGTAATTTTTTTTATTAAGTTGAATTCCTCATATATTTTGGATATCAACTCATTATCGGATATATGGTTTTCACATATTTTTCCCATTCCATATGTTGCCTTTTCATTTGGCTGATTGCTTCCTTTGTTGTAAAGAACTTTGCAGTTTGATATAGTTCCTCCTGTTTGCTTTTATTGTATGTGATTTTGGTGTCATATTAAAAAAACTTATTGCCAATACCAGTGTCATGGAATTTTGCTCATTTTGAAATGAAACAGTTTGTCTTACTGAGTTTTAAGAATGCTTTATATGTTCTGTATTGTTTGTGAAAAGTAGGATGTTGAGAAAGAGCTATTTGGGTTGATTTCTAGGTTGACCACCTGCATGTAAGAAGTGAAATGAAGCAGAAATGAGAAAAACCTTAGTATTTAATTAACATTTATTTATTGTCAATTTTAATGCAATCCAGTTGTTTGAATCCAAAGACTTGAAACAAATATGTTACAGTCAAATTAAGGAACTACATAGCGGTAGTAGATACCCTTCCTTTTCATCTGGGCATGGATACTATTTTTTTTAGGTGGAAATGTTATTGAACTATAGTAGCAGGTGGGAATCATTGTATTTCCATGGAATAACTCCAATATGTTTTCCAATATTGAGCAGACTCTTAGAAATAGAAAGCAAGATCTTTCTTGCTGAAACCAAGTTAAAGCCCACATTTGAATGTTTTTAATCCTGAACTGATAAATTCCTGTTCTTTAAGAAATAATGTTCTTGCTAACTGGCCAGGGAAAAGCCCCTAATGCTACTTTTTATGGCACTAGTTAGCTTACTGATTAAAGTTATATCCAAGAAAAGGGACTTGATGGTTTTCATAAGGAAAGACACTACCAGTGCTGCATCTTTGCTTTTAGAGACTTCACTTTCTGCCACAATACCAAAAATTGGGACACACCAAACATGGGACACACTGAAAATCAGGGTACACTAATTGCTGTAAAACAAAGTGTTATGTCCAGGACTGGTAATGCATTTCTAATATTTTGCTTTTTAGAAATGAATATTTTGCTTTTTAGAAATGTAAGCTTAGCTTTGTCACCATCTATAATTGAATTATTAACTCTCAAAAAGACAGCTCCAACTAAACCCAAAACTGTTTTAAAGCTTTCCATTATCCCTCAAAGTTTAACCCTCATACTAACGAGTTACTCCACTCAGTATTTTCTAACAAAGTAGCCCAAATGCCTGAAAGTCTTGGGAAGGAACCCCACAACAAGACATGTGCTGTAGCTCTAGGCTTAAAAGAAAAAGATAAAAGTGGATAGATTTACTTTTAGAAAGAATTTTATGATGGATTGCTGATTTTTCATGTTGAATTCATAGGTGAATTTTTTATTTCTTAAACGGCTACTTGAGTAAATTACATTTATATGTATTATATAGTCTTGATATCGAACAATGTTCCTGATAGCTAGAGGAGTAAATTGGGCTAGAAATATGACAATAAACAGAAGGTTGATCTGAACCAGACTCATTTTGACTAAAGCGATAAGACAGAGTGCAGCCAAAAGCATGGTTGCTACATCGAAAGGATAGATCTCAGCATGAATCAGCTGTGCCACAGAAGGAAGACTGGCCTAAGTGAGACCCATCTTGGCAATAGCTAGAAGACTTCCATGACCCAGACCCACGTTGGTGACAGCTAGGAGAGTGGACAGATCCAGACCAGTCTTGTCCAAAGGCTGAAGGCTGCTGGAATCCAAACTCATGCTGACCAAAGCTGGAAGACTGATCAGAGCCAGAGCCATGTTCACTGTAGCTTGATACCTGCCGCAACGTAGGTACATGTCGTTCGTGGCTAAAGGAGTCACTTGAGCTGGAACAAAGCTGACTATAACCAGAGGACTTTTCTGAGCCTGACTCACGTGGACCAAAGCCAGAAGACTGGCCTGAGAAAGACTGAGAGGGGCACTGGCTGGAAGAATACCCTGAGACAGTCCCATGTTGGCCAGGGCTAAAAGACTCTCCTGAACCAGAATCATACCAGCCCCGGCTAGGAGACTGGCCAGATCCAGAGCCGTGTCGGCCATAGCCAGAAGACTGACTTGAGCCGGAGCCATGGTGGCCATAGCTGGAGGACTGACCTGAGCTAGCTCCATGTTGTCCACAACTTGATGACTGTCCTGATGCAGAACCATGCTGTCCGTGGCTAGAGGAGTGACCCGAGCTAGATCCACGTTGAGTGTAGCCAGAGTACTGTCCTGAACGGGACTCATGCTGACCTAGGCCAGAAGAGTGGCCCGAGCCAGACGCATGTGGGCCACGGCTGGAAGAGCGCCCTGAGCCAGAGCCATGTGGGCCGTGGCTGGAAGACTGCCTGGAACCAGATCCAGGTCGGCCGCGGCTAGGGCTAGGAGACTGGCCAGATCCAGACCCGTGTCGGCCGTGCCCCGAAGACTGACGGGAGCCAGACCCATGCTGACCATAGGCGGAAGACTGACCTGAGCTAGATCCGTGTCGTTCGCCCCTAGATGACGCTCCTGAGCTAGAACCATGTTGGCTGTAGCCAGAGGAGTGACCTGAGCGAGATCCCTGCTGACTGTAACCAGAGGACTGTCCTGAGCTAGACTCATGTTGACCGAAGCCAGAAGAGTGGCCTGAGCCAGACTGATACGGGCCTCGGCTGGAAGAAGAACCTGAGCCAGAACCGTGTTGGCTGTGGTTAGAAGAGGACCCACGTTGGCCGGGGCTAGGAGACCGGCCGGAAGCGGACCCGGACCCATGTCGGCTGTGGCCCCGAGACTGATGTGAGCCAGAGCCATGCTGACCGTAGCCGGAAGACTGCCCTGAGCTAGATCCCTTCTGGCCAAAGCTTGAGGACTGTCCTGACGTGGAACCATGTTGTCCATGGCTAGAGGAGTGACCTGAGCCAGAACCATGCTGACTATAACCAGAGGACTGTCCTGAGCCAGACTCGTGTTGGCCATAGCCGGAAGAGTGGCCAGAGCCAGACCCATAGGGGCCACGGCTGGAAGAAGTCCCTGAGCCAGAGCCGTGTGGGCCGTGGCTGGAAGAGTGCCCCACACCGGATCCAGACCCGTGTCGGCCGCGGCCCGAAGACTGATGTGAGCCAGAGCCATGCTGACCGTAGCTGGAAGACTGCCCCGAGCTAGATCCCTCCTGGCCAAAGCTGGAGGAATGTCCTGACGTGGAACCGTGTTGTCCGTGGCTAGAGGTGTACCCCGAGCCACTTCCGTGCTGACTATAACCAGAGGACTGTCCTGAGCTAGACTCATGTTGACCGAAGCCAGAAGAGTGGCCTGAGCCAGACTGATATGGGCCTCGGCTGGAAGAAGAACCTGAGCCAGAGCCGTGTTGGCCGTGGCTGGAAGAGGACCCACGTTGGCCGGGGCTAGGAGACCGGCCGGAAGCGGACCCGGACCCGTGTCGGCCGTGGCCCCGAGACTGATGTGAGCCAGAGCCATGCTGACCGTAGCCGGAAGACTGCCCTGAGCTAGATCCCTTCTGGCCAAAGCTGGAGGACTGCTCTGATGTGGAACCGTGTTGTCCGTGGCTAGAGGTGTACCCTGAGCCACTTCCGTGCTGACTATAACCAGAGGAATGTCCTGAGCCGGACCCATGTCGGCCGCGGCTAGGAGACTGACCAGATCCAGAGCCGTGTTGGCCATAGCCAGAAGACTGACTTGGGCCCGAGCCATGGTGGCCATAGCTGGAGGACTGACCTGAGCTAGCTCCATGTTGTTCACAGCTTGATGACTGTCCTGATGCAGAACCATGCTGTCCGTGGCTAGAGGAGTGACCCGAGCTAGATCCGCGTTGAGTGTAGCCAGAGGACTGTCCGGAACGGGACTCATGCTGACCTAGGCCAGAAGAGTGGCCCGAGCCAGACTCATGTGGGCCACGGCTGGAAGAGCGCCCTGAGCCAGAGCCATGGGGGCCGTGGCTGGAAGACTGCCCGGAACCAGATCCATGTCGGCCGCGGCTAGGACTACGAGACTGGCCAGATCCAGACCCGTGTCGGCCGCGCCCCGAAGACTGACGGGAGCCAGACCCATGCTGACCATAGGTGGAAGACTGACCTGAGCTAGATCTGTGTCGTTCGCCCCTAGATGACGCTCCTGAGCTAGAACCATGTTGGCCGTAGCCAGAGGAGTGACCTGAGCCAGATCCATGCTGACTGTAACCAGAGGACTGTCCTGAGCTAGACTCATGTTGACCGAAGCCAGAAGAGTGGCCTGAGCCAGACTGATATGGGCCTTGGCTGGAAGAAGAACCTGAGCCAGAGCCGTGTTGGCCGTGGCTGGAAGAGGACCCACGTTGGCCGGGGCTAGGAGACCGGCCGGAAGCGGACCCGGACCCGTGTCGGCCGTGGCCCCGAGACTGATGTGAGCCAGAGCCATGCTGACCGTAGCCGGAAGACTGCCCTGAGCTAGATCCCTTCTGGCCAAAGCTGGAAGACTGCCCTGACGTGGAACCGTGTTGTCCATGGCTAGACGAGTGACCTGAGCCAGAACCATGCTGACTATAACCAGAGGACTGTCCTGAGCCAGACTCGTGTTGGCCGTAGCCGGAAGAGTGGCCAGAGCCAGACCCATAGGGGCCACGGCTGGAAGAAGAACCTGAGCCAGAGCCGTGTGGGCCGTGGCTGGAAGAGTGCCCCGCAGCGGATCCAGACCCGTGTCGGCCGCGGCCCGAAGACTGATGTGAGCCAGAGCCATGCTGACCGTAGCTGGAAGACTGCCCCGAGCTAGATCCCTCCTGGCCAAAGCTGGAGGACTGTCCTGACGTGGAACTGTGTTGTCCGTGGCTAGAGGTGTACCCCGAGCCACTTCTGTGCTGACTATAACCAGAGGACTGTCCTGAGCTAGACTCATGTTGACCGAAGCCAGAAGAGTGGCCTGAGCCAGACTGATATGGGCCTCGGCTGGAAGAAGAACCTGAGCCAGAGCCGTGTTGGCCGTGGCTGGAAGAGGACCCACGTTGGCCGGGGCTAGGAGACCGGCCGGAAGCGGACCCGGACCCGTGTCGGCCGTGGCCCTGAGACTGATGTGAACCAGAGCCATGCTGACTGTAGCCGGAAGACTGCCCTGAGCTAGATCCCTTCTGGCCAAAGCTGGAGGACTGCCCTGACGTGGAACCGTGTTGTCCATGGCTAGACGAGTGAGCTGAGCCAGAACCATGCTGACTATAACCAGAGGACTGTCCTGAGCCAGACTCGTGTTGGCCATAGCCGGAAGAGTGGCCAGAGCCAGACCCATAGGGGCCACGACTGGAAGAAGAACCTGAGCCAGAGCCGTGTGGGCCGTGGCTGGAAGAGTGCCCCGAAGTGGATCCAGACGCGTGTCGGCCGCGGCCCGAAGACTGATGTGAGCCAGAGCCATGCTGACCGTAGCTGGAAGACTGCCCCGAGCTAGATCCCTCCTGGCCAAAGCTGGAGGACTGTCCTGACGTGGAACCGTGTTGTCCGTGGCTAGAGGTGTACCCCGAGCCACTTCCGTGCTGACTATAACCAGAGGACTGTCCTGAGCCAGACCCATGTTGGCCGTAGCCGGAAGACTGTCCTGAGCCGGACCCATGTCGGCCGCGGCTAGGAGACTGGCCAGATCCAGAGCCGTGTTGGCCATAGCCAGAAGACTGACTTGAGCCCGAGCCATGGTGGCCATAGCTGGAGGACTGACCTGAGCTAGCTCCATGTTGTCCACAACTTGATGACTGTCCTGATGCAGAACCATGCTGTCCGTGGCTAGAGGAGTGACCCGAGCTAGATCCGCGTTGATTGTAGCCAGAGGACTGTCCTGAACGGGACTCATGCTGACCTAGGCCAGAAGAGTGGCCCGAGCCAGACTCATGTGGGCCACGGCTGGAAGAGCGCCCTGAGCCAGAGCCATGGGGGCCGTGGCTGGAAGACTGCCCGGAACCAGATCCATGTCGGCCGCGGCTAGGACTACGAGACTGGCCAGATCCAGACCCGTGTCGGCCGCGCCCCGAAGACTGACGGGAGCCAGACCCATGCTGACCATAGGCAGAAGACTGACCTGAGCTAGATCCGTGTCGTTCGCCCCTAGATGACGCTCCTGAGCTAGAACCATGTTGGCCGTAGCCAGAGGAGTGACCTGAGCCAGATCCATGCTGACTGTAACCAGAGGACTGTCCTGAGCTAGACTCATGTTGACCGAAGCCAGAAGAGTGGCCTGAGCCAGACTGATACGGGCCTCGGCTGGAAGAAGAACCTGAGCCAGAACCGTGTTGGCTGTGGTTAGAAGAGGACCCACGTTGGCCGGGGCTAGGAGACCGGCCGGAAGCGGACCCGGACCCATGTCGGCTGTGGCCCCGAGACTGATGTGAGCCAGAGCCATGCTGACCGTAGCCGGAAGACTGCCCTGAGCTAGATCCCTTCTGGCCAAAGCTTGAGGACTGTCCTGACGTGGAACCATGTTGTCCATGGCTAGAGGAGTGACCTGAGCCAGAACCATGCTGACTATAACCAGAGGACTGTCCTGAGCCAGACTCGTGTTGGCCATAGCCGGAAGAGTGGCCAGAGCCAGACCCATAGGGGCCACGGCTGGAAGAAGTCCCTGAGCCAGAGCCGTGTGGGCCGTGGCTGGAAGAGTGCCCCACACCGGATCCAGACCCGTGTCGGCCGCGGCCCGAAGACTGATGTGAGCCAGAGCCATGCTGACCGTAGCTGGAAGACTGCCCCGAGCTAGATCCCTCCTGGCCAAAGCTGGAGGAATGTCCTGACGTGGAACCGTGTTGTCCGTGGCTAGAGGTGTACCCCGAGCCACTTCCGTGCTGACTATAACCAGAGGACTGTCCTGAGCTAGACTCATGTTGACCGAAGCCAGAAGAGTGGCCTGAGCCAGACTGATATGGGCCTCGGCTGGAAGAAGAACCTGAGCCAGAGCCGTGTTGGCCGTGACTGGAAGAGGACCCACGTTGGCCGGGGCTAGGAGACCGGCCGGAAGCGGACCCGGACCCGTGTCGGCCGTGGCCCCGAGACTGATGTGAGCCAGAGCCATGCTGACCGTAGCCGGAAGACTGCCCTGAGCTAGATCCCTTCTGGCCAAAGCTGGAGGACTGCTCTGATGTGGAACCGTGTTGTCCGTGGCTAGAGGTGTACCCTGAGCCACTTCCGTGCTGACTATAACCAGAGGAATGTCCTGAGCCGGACCCATGTCGGCCGCGGCTAGGAGACTGACCAGATCCAGAGCCGTGTTGGCCATAGCCAGAAGACTGACTTGGGCCCGAGCCATGGTGGCCATAGCTGGAGGACTGACCTGAGCTAGCTCCATGTTGTTCACAGCTTGATGACTGTCCTGATGCAGAACCATGCTGTCCGTGGCTAGAGGAGTGACCCGAGCTAGATCCGCGTTGAGTGTAGCCAGAGGACTGTCCGGAACGGGACTCATGCTGACCTAGGCCAGAAGAGTGGCCCGAGCCAGACTCATGTGGGCCACGGCTGGAAGAGCGCCCTGAGCCAGAGCCATGGGGGCCGTGGCTGGAAGACTGCCCGGAACCAGATCCATGTCGGCCGCGGCTAGGACTACGAGACTGGCCAGATCCAGACCCGTGTCGGCCGCGCCCCGAAGACTGACGGGAGCCAGACCCATGCTGACCATAGGTGGAAGACTGACCTGAGCTAGATCTGTGTCGTTCGCCCCTAGATGACGCTCCTGAGCTAGAACCATGTTGGCCGTAGCCAGAGGAGTGACCTGAGCCAGATCCATGCTGACTGTAACCAGAGGACTGTCCTGAGCTAGACTCATGTTGACCGAAGCCAGAAGAGTGGCCTGAGCCAGACTGATATGGGCCTTGGCTGGAAGAAGAACCTGAGCCAGAGCCGTGTTGGCCGTGGCTGGAAGAGGACCCACGTTGGCCGGGGCTAGGAGACCGGCCGGAAGCGGACCCGGACCCGTGTCGGCCGTGGCCCCGAGACTGATGTGAGCCAGAGCAATGCTGACCGTAGCCGGAAGACTGCCCTGAGCTAGATCCCTTCTGGCCAAAGCTGGAAGACTGCCCTGACGTGGAACCGTGTTGTCCATGGCTAGACGAGTGACCTGAGCCAGAACCATGCTGACTATAACCAGAGGACTGTCCTGAGCCAGACTCGTGTTGGCCGTAGCCGGAAGAGTGGCCAGAGCCAGACCCATAGGGGCCACGGCTGGAAGAAGAACCTGAGCCAGAGCCGTGTGGGCCGTGGCTGGAAGAGTGCCCCGCAGCGGATCCAGACCCGTGTCGGCCGCGGCCCGAAGACTGATGTGAGCCAGAGCCATGCTGACCGTAGCTGGAAGACTGCCCCGAGCTAGATCCCTCCTGGCCAAAGCTGGAGGACTGTCCTGACGTGGAACTGTGTTGTCCGTGGCTAGAGGTGTACCCCGAGCCACTTCTGTGCTGACTATAACCAGAGGACTGTCCTGAGCTAGACTCATGTTGACCGAAGCCAGAAGAGTGGCCTGAGCCAGACTGATACGGGCCTCGGCTGGAAGAAGAACCTGAGCCAGAGCCGTGTTGGCCGTGGCTGGAAGAGGACCCACGTTGGCCGGGGCTAGGAGACCGGCCGGAAGCGGACCCGGACCCGTGTCGGCCGTGGCCCTGAGACTGATGTGAACCAGAGCCATGCTGACTGTAGCCGGAAGACTGCCCTGAGCTAGATCCCTTCTGGCCAAAGCTGGAGGACTGCCCTGACGTGGAACCGTGTTGTCCATGGCTAGACGAGTGAGCTGAGCCAGAACCATGCTGACTATAACCAGAGGACTGTCCTGAGCCAGACTCGTGTTGGCCATAGCCGGAAGAGTGGCCAGAGCCAGACCCATAGGGGCCACGACTGGAAGAAGAACCTGAGCCAGAGCCGTGTGGGCCGTGGCTGGAAGAGTGCCCCGAAGTGGATCCAGACGCGTGTCGGCCGCGGCCCGAAGACTGATGTGAGCCAGAGCCATGCTGACCGTAGCTGGAAGACTGCCCCGAGCTAGATCCCTCCTGGCCAAAGCTGGAGGACTGTCCTGACGTGGAACCGTGTTGTCCGTGGCTAGAGGTGTACCCCGAGCCACTTCCGTGCTGACTATAACCAGAGGACTGTCCTGAGCCAGACCCATGTTGGCCGTAGCCGGAAGACTGTCCTGAGCCGGACCCATGTCGGCCGCGGCTAGGAGACTGGCCAGATCCAGAGCCGTGTTGGCCATAGCCAGAAGACTGACTTGAGCCCGAGCCATGGTGGCCATAGCTGGAGGACTGACCTGAGCTAGCTCCATGTTGTCCACAACTTGATGACTGTCCTGATGCAGAACCATGCTGTCCGTGGCTAGAGGAGTGACCCGAGCTAGATCCGCGTTGATTGTAGCCAGAGGACTGTCCTGAACGGGACTCATGCTGACCTAGGCCAGAAGAGTGGCCCGAGCCAGACTCATGTGGGCCACGGCTGGAAGAGCGCCCTGAGCCAGAGCCATGGGGGCCGTGGCTGGAAGACTGCCCGGAACCAGATCCATGTCGGCCGCGGCTAGGACTACGAGACTGGCCAGATCCAGACCCGTGTCGGCCGCGCCCCGAAGACTGACGGGAGCCAGACCCATGCTGACCATAGGCGGAAGACTGACCTGAGCTAGATCCGTGTCGTTCGCCCCTAGATGACGCTCCTGAGCTAGAACCATGTTGGCCGTAGCCAGAGGAGTGACCTGAGCCAGATCCATGCTGACTGTAACCAGAGGACTGTCCTGAGCTAGACTCATGTTGACCGAAGCCAGAAGAGTGGCCTGAGCCAGACTGATACGGGCCTCGGCTGGAAGAAGAACCTGAGCCAGAACCGTGTTGGCTGTGGTTAGAAGAGGACCCACGTTGGCCGGGGCTAGGAGACCGGCCGGAAGCGGACCCGGACCCATGTCGGCTGTGGCCCCGAGACTGATGTGAGCCAGAGCCATGCTGACCGTAGCCGGAAGACTGCCCTGAGCTAGATCCCTTCTGGCCAAAGCTTGAGGACTGTCCTGACGTGGAACCATGTTGTCCATGGCTAGAGGAGTGACCTGAGCCAGAACCATGCTGACTATAACCAGAGGACTGTCCTGAGCCAGACTCGTGTTGGCCATAGCCGGAAGAGTGGCCAGAGCCAGACCCATAGGGGCCACGGCTGGAAGAAGTCCCTGAGCCAGAGCCGTGTGGGCCGTGGCTGGAAGAGTGCCCCACACCGGATCCAGACCCGTGTCGGCCGCGGCCCGAAGACTGATGTGAGCCAGAGCCATGCTGACCGTAGCTGGAAGACTGCCCCGAGCTAGATCCCTCCTGGCCAAAGCTGGAGGAATGTCCTGACGTGGAACCGTGTTGTCCGTGGCTAGAGGTGTACCCCGAGCCACTTCCGTGCTGACTATAACCAGAGGACTGTCCTGAGCTAGACTCATGTTGACCGAAGCCAGAAGAGTGGCCTGAGCCAGACTGATATGGGCCTCGGCTGGAAGAAGAACCTGAGCCAGAGCCGTGTTGGCCGTGACTGGAAGAGGACCCACGTTGGCCGGGGCTAGGAGACCGGCCGGAAGCGGACCCGGACCCGTGTCGGCCGTGGCCCCGAGACTGATGTGAGCCAGAGCCATGCTGACCGTAGCCGGAAGACTGCCCTGAGCTAGATCCCTTCTGGCCAAAGCTGGAGGACTGCTCTGATGTGGAACCGTGTTGTCCGTGGCTAGAGGTGTACCCTGAGCCACTTCCGTGCTGACTATAACCAGAGGAATGTCCTGAGCCGGACCCATGTCGGCCGCGGCTAGGAGACTGACCAGATCCAGAGCCGTGTTGGCCATAGCCAGAAGACTGACTTGGGCCCGAGCCATGGTGGCCATAGCTGGAGGACTGACCTGAGCTAGCTCCATGTTGTTCACAGCTTGATGACTGTCCTGATGCAGAACCATGCTGTCCGTGGCTAGAGGAGTGACCCGAGCTAGATCCGCGTTGAGTGTAGCCAGAGGACTGTCCGGAACGGGACTCATGCTGACCTAGGCCAGAAGAGTGGCCCGAGCCAGACTCATGTGGGCCACGGCTGGAAGAGCGCCCTGAGCCAGAGCCATGGGGGCCGTGGCTGGAAGACTGCCCGGAACCAGATCCATGTCGGCCGCGGCTAGGACTACAAGACTGGCCAGATCCAGACCCGTGTCGGCCGCGCCCCGAAGACTGACGGGAGCCAGACCCATGCTGACCATAGGTGGAAGACTGACCTGAGCTAGATCTGTGTCGTTCGCCCCTAGATGACGCTCCTGAGCTAGAACCATGTTGGCCGTAGCCAGAGGAGTGACCTGAGCCAGATCCATGCTGACTGTAACCAGAGGACTGTCCTGAGCTAGACTCATGTTGACCGAAGCCAGAAGAGTGGCCTGAGCCAGACTGATATGGGCCTCTGGCTGGAAGAAGAACCTGAGCCAGAGCCGTGTTGGCCGTGGCTGGAAGAGGACCCACGTTGGCCGGGGCTAGGAGACCGGCCGGAAGCGGACCCGGACCCGTGTCGGCCGTGGCCCCGAGACTGATGTGAGCCAGAGCCATGCTGACCGTAGCCGGAAGACTGCCCTGAGCTAGATCCCTTCTGGCCAAAGCTGGAAGACTGCCCTGACGTGGAACCGTGTTGTCCATGGCTAGACGAGTGACCTGAGCCAGAACCATGCTGACTATAACCAGAGGACTGTCCTGAGCCAGACTCGTGTTGGCCGTAGCCGGAAGAGTGGCCAGAGCCAGACCCATAGGGGCCACGGCTGGAAGAAGAACCTGAGCCAGAGCCGTGTGGGCCGTGGCTGGAAGAGTGCCCCGCACCGGATCCAGACCCGTGTCGGCCGCGGCCCGAAGACTGATGTGAGCCAGAGCCATGCTGACCGTAGCTGGAAGACTGCCCCGAGCTAGATCCCTCCTGGCCAAAGCTGGAGGACTGTCCTGACGTGGAACTGTGTTGTCCGTGGCTAGAGGTGTACCCCGAGCCACTTCCGTGCTGACTATAACCAGAGGACTGTCCTGAGCTAGACTCATGTTGACCGAAGCCAGAAGAGTGGCCTGAGCCAGACTGATATGGGCCTCGGCTGGAAGAAGAACCTGAGCCAGAGCCGTGTTGGCCGTGGCTGGAAGAGGACCCACGTTGGCCGGGGCTAGGAGACCGGCCGGAAGCGGACCCGGACCCGTGTCGGCCGTGGCCCCGAGACTGATGTGAGCCAGAGCCATGCTGACCGTAGCCGGAAGACTGCCCTGAGCTAGATCCCTTCTGGCCAAAGCTGGAGGACTGCCCTGACGTGGAACCGTGTTGTCCATGGCTAGACGAGTGACCTGAGCCAGAACCATGCTGACTATAACCAGAGGACTGTCCTGAGCCAGACTCGTGTTGGCCATAGCCGGAAGAGTGGCCAGAGCCAGACCCATAGGGGCCACGCTGGAAGAAGAACCTGAGCCAGAGCCGTGTGGGCCGTGGCTGGAAGAGTGCCCCGAAGTGGATCCAGACGCGTGTCGGCCGCGGCCCGAAGACTGATGTGAGCCAGAGCCATGCTGACCGTAGCCGGAAGACTGCCCTGAGCTAGATCCCTCCTGGCCAAAGCTGGAGGACTGTCCTGACGTGGAACCGTGTTGTCCGTGGCTAGAGGTGTACCCCGAGCCACTTCCGTGCTGACTATAACCAGAGGACTGTCCTGAACCAGACCCATGTTGGCCGTAGCCGGAAGACTGTCCTGAGCCGGACCCATGTCGGCCGCGGCTAGGAGACTGGCCAGATCCAGAGCCGTGTCGGCCATAGCCAGAAGACTGACTTGAGCCCGAGCCATGATGGCCATAGCTGGAGGACTGACCTGAGCTAGCTCCATGTTGTCCACAGCTTGATGACTGTCCTGATGCAGAACCATGCTGTCCGTGGCTAGGGGAGTGACCCGAGCTAGATCCGCGTTGAGTGTAACCAGAGGACTGTCCTGAACGGGACTCATGCTGACCTAGGCCAGAAGAGTGGCCCGAGCCAGACTCATGTGGGCCACGGCTGGAAGAGCGCCCTGAGCCAGAGCCATGGGGGCCGTGGCTGGAAGACTGCCTGGAACCAGATCCATGTCGGCCGCGGCTAGGGCTAGGAGACTGGCCAGATCCAGACCCGTGTCGGCCGCGCCCCGAAGACTGACGGGAGCCAGACCCATGCTGACCATAGGCGGAAGACTGACCTGAGCTAGATCCGTGTCGTTCGCCCCTAGATGACGCTCCTGAGCTAGAACCGTGTTGTCCATAGCCAGAGGAGTGAGCTGAGCGAGATCCCTGCTGACTGTAACCAGAGGACTGTCCTGAGCTAGACTCAAGTTTTCCGAAGCCAGAAGAGTGGCCTGAAGCAGACTCATGTGGGCCAGTGCTGGGAGAATGACTTTGTCCGGTACCTTGTTGGCTGTAGGTGGAAGCCTTCTCATTAGTAGTCCCAATTTGACTATGAGTATCAGACTGCGCACATCTAGAGGTGTGTTCACCATGGTTAGAAGACTGACTGGAGGCATAGCTATGTTTGTATAGAGTGGATTTCTGACCTGAACTAGCTGTATATTTATCACAGCTAGTCGAGTGTCCCAGTATAGAACCTTGTTTCCCATTGGTGGAGGACTGACACAATCTCGAGTCCTGTTGTGTGTAGCCAGAGAAGTGTCCTGAGTGAGTGTCATGTTGACCTATGTCAGAAGAGTGATCTGAGTCAGACTCATATGAGCCACAGCTAGAAGCTTGCCCTGAGCCTAACTCATGTTCTCTGTAACTTGAATCAGTTGGATTATTTGAATTTGACCAACGTTCTTGTTCCTTACAGGTTTCTGAGGTGAATTCATGGTCCTGCTTACCAGGAGAATGATGAGAGTTCTTCTTATGTTGTTTCTTCGTCAAGGATTCATTTGAGTCAGACCAGTTTTGTTTAGAAATGAAAGGCTGATCATCTGAGCGGTGTGTGTGCTCTTGTTGTCCATAAGTGTCAGACCAAGTTGCGAAGTTTGATTTTTTTCTGCAATTACTTGAATGAACATAACCACTTTCTTGACTTTCAGACCTTTCTTTCTCATGAGACGCATTTTTGCTTTTCTCACCACCTTTGAAATCCTTTAAAGTTGAGTGTATGTTTTCTCCAGATATTTTCCTGTGCCCAGAACTAGAGAAGTTTCTTTGGTAATGCAGGCTTCTGCATATGGATTTAGGCCTATGTTTCTTGCTTCTTCTGGAGTTCCTGGAATAGGAATCGTTCTCTCCTGCACTCCAACTTGAATGACTGGAAGAGGCTTCTTGCCCTTTTTCCTCCTCTTCTTCTGTTTCATCTTGTTCCTCTTGGTGCTGGTGACTGTCGTCTCTCAGCTTTGACCCTGAAGCTTGGTAGTAATCTTTGCCAATGATTTTATTACGAGCCTGAACCAGCTGGAATATCATCAGAAGATACTCAGTAAAATCCACTTTCTTGTTATGATCTCGATCCAGACTTTTCAAGATGAGCTCCACAGTATCTGGATCATTTGGATTCTGTATAAGAACAAGGTACAAAGAGTAGCTCTGTTAGTATAGGCCATACACCAGCTAAACAACTGAAGAGAAGATGTGAAAATGTAAATATTTGGCTTATTCATGTGGAACTTATTACATAGTCTTTTAGTCTGGATTGCTGTATCCTGACCAGAAAGAGAAAAAGGAGTATGCAGTGAGTAATGTGGTGAGAAATAACTAGAAAATGATTCAATGAAAAGATGAAAGGGAACAAGAGGACTGATTATTTTTGGCAAACAATGGGTCAAATATGAATGATTAGCTAATTTATAAATAATTTTTTATACCCATATTATATAAATTTTCTTTATTTGTCCAATTAAATTAATTAGGTAAGTAATTACTCACTGAACAAAGATTTATTATGCTATTTGCCTAGCATTATGTTATATGCGAGTATAAGTCAACAAACAAGTTTGCTTTCTGAAAAAGATGGAATTTCAAGTTGAGTTGGTCAGATATACAAACAAAATTATAATTTATTGTGGTAAGGTTTCTACCAGAGTACACTGGAGAGGAACCAATGGAGGTCTTAGAAAGTTTAATGAGAGTAAATGATGCCTTTTTAAGGATGGATTAGAATTAGCCAAACAAAGGAGTAGGAAGATATGGAGAAAGGGAAAAGATTGTTCTAGGCAGAGGGAATGATATGAATAAAGGGCTGGAGGTAAAAGAAGGCTTGGAGCATTTAAGGAAAGAAATCTAGGATTGCTAGATTTAGAGTTTGAAGAGTTAAGAAATGTGGATAAAGATAAATAGGGACCAGATTATGACTTTTAAGTCATGTTAAGGAATTTTGTACTTTAAGAGCAATTGGGAGCTGTTAAAGGATTTTTAGCTGAGTAGTGAAATTATTATATTTGCATCTAATGCTGAGATTAGAAGTAGTAGGTGGCCTGCGCTAGAGGACTAAGAATAGTGATGAAGAGAAATGGCCTCTTTTGAGAGATATTGATGAGTTAGATGGAGGTTGGAAGGTAGTGGTATGTGCTGAGAGAGAGAAAATAAAAAATGACACCAGATTTTTGCCTTGGGCAAAAAGATGAAGGAATAAGGTTTGAGGGGAAGATTATGAGATTCATAGCTGACACACTGAATATCTGACATCTGATATCTGAATATCATATCTAAAATTCATAGAAATCCAAATAATATTCAGTAAGCAGTTGCATTTAAGGAATGGAAACTCAAAAGTCTGATCTAAGCTCCCAAATATTCATTTCTAGAGCCAACATTTATAAGGTGGTGGACATATTCTTTTGTGATTCAGGGGTAAATGCTAATTTCCTAAAATTGGAAATGTAGGCATTTACCTAGATCGGAAAATTTTTCTTAGGCAGACTATGTTTGTAAGAATTGGTCACTTAGATAGGATGTTATTTAATCTGTGTGTGTTTTTTTTTGTTGTTGTTTAGTAGTATCACTTCCCTTAGCTATGCTATGGAAACCATTATGGATCAGCTCTTGACTTTATCTTAAACTTTTACCACACCCTCTTCTCTGTCACCAAGTAGGGAGAATCCTTTAGGATGCTGACATCTGTGACAAGAAGGTGGAAAGGGATGAAGAAGAAAAGTCCTGTATAATTCTATGTTGGCATGGAGTTCTTACCTTCAGAATTTGATGAAACTCATTTTCCAAAAGTTCTTTCAGCTCTGCCTTGTTCAACATATCATACTCCCCATACTTAGTGGCATATTGGTAGAAAACATCGATGACAGTGATGATGCCTTGCAGGAGTTTAGGCATTTTTTTTTTTTCAAGTTTGAGCAACCTAAAGGGAGGAAAAAGAGGGACCAACCCCTTACTACTCTTATTTCTTGTTTAAACGCATAAATAGATCTAATTATTTATAATAATTGTTCAGAATTAGGCATGTTTAAATTCATTGTGTTGTAATCAAGAACTAATCCAGAGTTGAATGACTTGTTCAATCAAGACTTGTAGCAAGAGAGTGATGAAAGTAGGAAAGTAATCCATGGGTCTTATTTCCATTCCTGAATGAATATAGGAAAAATGACTTTCTGTTTTGGTTTCCCTGCCATTACCAGGGATAATATCAGCTTTGTTCAGTGGCTTTAAAAGTCCTAAGTGTTCCACTTCATCTGCTTCTTCTTTCTCTCTAGGTTCCAATAATACTGTGGGTACAGGTCCATACTACATGACATGCCTGACTTCAACTAAGGAGCATCAATGGCTGAACTGAACTCTCAAGACTTCAGGTCAGAGAAAGTAGACAAAGTGACCATAGCCAACAATGAGCCTAGATGATACGAAACTGAAGGCAGATTCAGTTTCTGTTTTCATTCTTCAAGCAGTAAGTGACCCTCAGACCTTGGTACACACTAGAAAAAGCTCAGCAGTGAAGAAGGCAACCTGCCTGTGGATAATTAGAACCCTATGATATCCATGATATTAGGGAAATGACCTCAAAGAAAGGACATAATATACATAGTCCTAGTCATTGTTTCATTTTCCTTTTCAACAAACTTAAACTTATGCCATAGTTGCCCAGAGTATACTAAAAAGAAGCCTTGTATCTAGTGCCTCTTGGCTTTAAAGCACATCCTGGACTTTCTTAATTTATATCCCTAAGTACCCTTGAGCAGACTGGAACTCCTGCTCACTTACCTAGCTCACCAGAGGAACAAGTAGGAGATAGAAGCCGCTTGCAGGGTGCTGCTAGTTTGGCAGAGTGGCCTTTTTATAGAGGGAGTAATGGTCCATCTTAGGGAGGAGATGCTCTCTTTGAGATGTCCTAATTTACTCCTAAACAAATCCATCTCCACCTCTGTCTCCACCTCTTACGTGTTTACCTTCTTTCTCACTTCCTTACATGTTCACTTAAGATTGCATTAGCAATTCCCAAATCTGGGCTACTCTCAGCCCCACCTGCCAAAGTGGCACTTTGCAGAAAGGCCTCTTTTTGTATTCATCAAACTATCTAGCACAATACATTGACAACAAATTGTGTGGATTTTAATAGAAGTTGAGTGGAGTGTGTGCAGGGACATCATGGCCCAAATGCCAAAGAATCATGGAAATTGATGATTAAAAGATTATCTAGTCAAACTCTCCCATTCTAAGCTTAATTTTCTTAAATGGTATTCCAGCCAAAGTGTCATCTGTGGTATTTTTATTAGCTTTTAAAATGGTTAATGGTGCCAGAGGCCATCCTTTTATGTCTTTACTACCTCAATTTACCAGACCCCTTATTGGCCATACATCAATGGAACTTTCATTTCAAACACCCTATAACCATAGGAAGAAATGCATGCTTATTAGCATGGTACCCATGGTTCTTCATGATCTGGGCTGTGGCTTTTTTCCAGGTCCATTTCTCCCCTCCATATTTCTCTTTGTGCTCCACCAGTAATTATTAATACTTAAAACTTCCTCAATATACCATGTTTTTTCATATTTTTTCTTAGAATATCTTTCCTCACTATCTGCCTAGTGAACTAATTTTTCTTCAAAATTCATCTTAGGCTTCCCATAGGAAATTTTTCTTTAATTACTCAAGGAAAACTTGTAATTGTGTACCTTGTTTATATTTATTATTGTATCAATCATACTATATTGTATCTTTTAAACTTGTTTTACTATACAATTATTATTTAATATAAAAATTAGAAAATATTGATAAGCAAATAAGATGGAATCAAAATACCTTTAAAGTCACTACCCCAAAATAACTAATAGTAGTTATTTGTTGTATATCCTTGACTTGCACACACACACACACACACTCTCTCTCTCTCTCTCTCTCTCTCTCTCTCTCTCTTTCTCTCTCTTTCTCTCATCTGTGGGCTTATATCATTTCTAGACTATGAGCTCCTTGAGAATAAGGAATGGACATTATATATCCTTATGTCACTTGGAGACCTAGTATACCACTTGTCTCACATAAAGGTCTCTAATAAATGCCAGTTTGAATTAAATTGAAAGAGAAGCAAGGATCAAGAGTATAGTCCTCTGAATTGGTCAGCTTCTGCCTTTTCACAGTAGGACAGGATCTGCCCTCTCTCTTGCCATCTTTGCCTCAGAGGACATGATTTTACCTGAATATAAACTGAATCTTAGCATCAAGAATCAGTGAGTGGCTTTCTGCTTATTTCTGTGGACCTTGCTCTGCATTTCATCCATTGTGAACATGTGACAAATTTCATTGAAGCTGTCTGAAGTTACATGGACTTAAAACTTGTGCAATATGGTAATCAGGATTTGAGAAGGTGTGGTAGCAAGTCTTGGCAAGTGATGAATTACATGATTCCAAATTCAACTATTGTTAGGCTATGTGTTTTCTTCTAAGAATTGCCCAGAGGGCTGCAGAGTCAGTATCCATTCTGTAGCCATGTTTCCTCTGGATGTCTGATTGGGCTAGGTTTTCATACTTCATCAGAGCAGTGACCTTTTTAAAGGTGTGGCTGAGACTGTGGGAGTGAAGGGGAGGTGGAATTTGCTGAGTGAAGACTGATTTCCTGCAGGAGCCAGGTGTTGTCATGAAGGGAGGAGAGGCTTGTGAGTGAGGACTCTTCAGGTGAACGTGCTTTTGGGGCCAGTGTTCTCCTAAGACAGCGATCAGCAAACTTTTTTTGTACAGGGCCAGATAATACTAAATATTATCTCTGCAGGACAGATAGTTTTTGTTGCAACTACTCAACTCTGCTGTTGTAGCATAAAAGCAGCCATAGATAAAATGTAAACAAATAAGCATGGCTATGTTTCAGTATAACTTATTTATTAATACTGATCTTTGAATTTCATATAATTTCACGTCATATATTTTTTCAACCACTTACAAATATGGAAAACCTTTTTATCCTGTAGGCTACAGAAAAATGGATGACAAAGTAGCTATGAACTGCAGGCTGTAGTTTACCACTCTTTGCTCCTCTTCTGTATTTGGTTTTCGGGAAGATTCTCCAGGAGAGGAGAATATGAGAGAAAAGAAGGACTGAAAAGTGTGCGACATTAGAACCACTAACTCTACCATGAGAGCAACAATCAAGGTGAATTTGTGAATGTCAGCATATGTGGGATGGTAGGGAAAGGGAACAGAACAAGGGGCCTTTGGCTGCTCATAAAAGGCAGGTAAATTTTGATTTGATGTATGGGAGAAATTTTTAATATTTGCATTGACTGAAAATGCAGTGAGCTCTTTGTGAAGTAACTGAATTTATTGTCAAGTATCATATGAATAGTTTTTTACTATTAAAGAAAAAATTAATCTTTTCAGTACTTTATTTTCTGAATATATTCACCAACCAGAATTTTGTTGGGCTTTTTTTCCTGGTTTGTATCATGAAAATAAGAAGTATATTACATATGCGTTTTGGTCTCTTCACTCCCTATTGAGAGTTACTTACTAAAAGTTGGAATAGATTAACACAAAAGTTACTTTTAAAACAGATTCATGAGTTTTTTCAGAGTGTGTGGTCCACAGTAAAAGGTTTGGACATGAAGGTTCCTCCATCATAAGTTTGGTTAGCAGTTTTTTTCCCCCTTGGAGAGGATAAGTTTCAGAAGAAAAGCTTTTCTATGGTATGGGTCATGTTTTAGGTTTTTGAATGCCTTTCTCTGTGTGTTGGCAGAAGAATGGAAATTACATTTCTTTTTATGTCAAACACAGTGCTCTGTGTGCAGGTGTACATCGTTTTGTTAATTCTCACAGCAACCCTGTTATCTAGGTGTTATATTTCCATTTTGCAGATGAGAAAACATAGGCTCAGATGAAATCTATAACGTGTTTCAAGTCACTTAGCTAGTAATGAAGGAGACAAAAGTTAAATTCAAATCTGCTTTTCCCTAGAAATAGCAAGTAGGGAACTGTTCTTATCTTGGTAAAGGAGGAGTTTTGGAGACGGTTCTTGAGGAATGGAATGTTTCACCTAGGAAAAACAAACAAACAAAACTTGCAAGGATAAACAGTGAAGTTCCTGTACCATCTGTGTGCACTCATTTTTTTCTGCCTGTCTGGAAGGCAGAGTAATGTGCTTATTGCATTATCTCCTGGGTCAGAAGACCTCTTCTTCATTGCCTTTTCTATCCTTTTTCCTCACAGAAATTATTTCACATAATTTCTGATAGTTCTGTGTAGCCAAGTCTCTATAAATGAGGAGACTATGTAAAAAATATGGGTATGTATGCCAGAAAAGGTTGATAGTTGTGATTTTGGGTAAATGGAATCAAAAGAAGTTAGCTATAATATGAAACTGGTCAAATGGTGCTTCCTTCTATATTCTTCTGATTTGGTATGAGTCCTTTTTACTATTATCTCAAAAAATCAAAAATGGATAGGATATAATTTTACAGCTTAATGTATATTCCCTGGGTATGAGACAGGCATGGTGACATATTTTTCAGCTTCAGACCCACACTCTGGAATATATTCTGCTTCACTACTGGTCTTCCTCTTGAGTTGCTTCTTTCTCTATTAATCTCTCTTAATATCCTCCATTTTCTCTTCCAAGAACTCCAAAATGCTTCAAATGCTGGGCATCCAGAGCTCATTTATACTTGTATCCTCTTATTTATTCAGTCAGTATCTTTCTTCAGTATATCTTTTTTTTTTGGTCTTACTCTGTTGCCCAGGCCGAAGTGTAGTGGTGCGACCATGGCTCACTGCAGCTTCCAACTCCAGGGCTCAAGAGATTCTCCCACTTTATCTTCCTGAGTAGCTGAGATTATAGTGTATGCCACTGTATCTGTCTAATTTTTTAATTTTAATTTTTGTAGAGATGAGACCGAGACCTCACTGTGTTACTTAGACTCCATGTTCTTATCTTGGTGTTTGATGCTCTTACTGGCTTAGTATTAATTCATAGCCTCTATCCCTTAATTTGTACTACCCAAAACTTTCAGAATGCAGACCTGGTCCACTGAAGTGGACAGATGGAGAAGAGTGACTGGAAGCGATTCATGAACCTTTCAAATGTTAGAAATAGTGCCCCCCGTCCCCCAAAAAAATGAGACATAAGGACCTTGATTATTGGAAATCAAATCCAGAACATTTGTCTTTTAATTTGTGTGCATGTGGGGGTGGGGTGGGGAGGGGATGGTGGTGGGATGGGTGATAGAGAAGGCAGAATGAGGCATTGTAGTATGAATTTAATGAGTAGCAAACTGGTTAGACCTCTGTTTCCTTTCCGACCTCATCTTCCACCACTCTCCCCTCCTGGTACCCTGCTGAAGCCATATTAGCTTCCTTGCTATTCTCCAAAACCTCCAGGCATACTCTTTTATTTATTTATTATTATTATTTTTTAATGTTTTTTTATTTTTATTTTTTATTGCATTTTAGGTTTTGGTGGGAGTATAAATTAGTTCAACTGCTGTGGAAGACAGTGTGGCGATTCCTCAAGGACCTAGAAATAGAAATTCCATTTGACCTAGCAATTTCATTACTGGGTATATAGCCAAAGGATTATAAATCATTCTACTATAAGGACATGTGCACACGAATGTTCATTGCAGCACTGTTTACAATAGCAAAGACCTGGAACCAACCCAAATGCCCATCAATGATAGACTGGACAGGGAAAATGTGGCATATTCATTTTTAAAAGAATTTTTGCCAGGAATGCTCTTCCCCTAAATGTCCATTTGACTATATTCCTTATCTTCTTCAAGTCTTTGCTCAGATATCACCTTCTCAATAAAGCCTATCCTGACCCTT